TTATTCTTCTAGTTACTTCATTCTCGTGGTTCGGCTCCACTTATTACCTATCTCGAAGCGCTGCTCCCTTCCAAGATTGTTGTACATTACTTTCATTTTCTGCGGATTAATTTCAAGACCTACCTTTCTGCTCTCTTTGTCTAACTCCGTAATCATGAGCTGCAATTCGTCCCCTGAGTTACTCAGCGATGCAATGTCATCGGCGAAGTTCAGGTTATTAAGGTACTTTCCATTAACTTGTATCCCTCACTGTTCCCATTCAAGGCCTCTGAAAACTTCCTGTAAGCACGCGGTACATAGCAATGGGGAGATTGTATCCCCCTGCCTTGCACCCTTCTTGATTAGTATTCTAGGCCACCGAAAACTTCCTGTAAACACGCGGTACATAGCATTGGGGAGATTGTATCCCCCTGCCTTACACCCTTCTTGATTGGTATTCTAGGCCTCTGAAAACTTCCTGTAAGCACGCAGTACACAGCATTAGGGAGATTGTATCCCCCTGCCTTACACGCTTCTTGATTGATATTCTGTTGCATTCTTTATGAAGCATTATGGTAGCAGTTGATCCCCTGTAGGTTACTTCTAGGATGTTTATATATGCTTTGTCGACACCCTGATTTCGCAGTGTCTGCATGACTTAATTAAATTATTTAATTATTTTAAATTATTCAAATTATTTTAAATATAAATTAAGCAGTAATAATGAATAATAGCTGATGTTTTATGTCCCCAAACCACGATATGAGTACGAGAGACGCCGTAGTGGAAAGTTATGGAAATTTTGACCATGTGATGTTCTTTAACGTACCGCTACATCGTACTGTACACGGGCCTCTACCATTTCGCCTTCATCGAAATGCAACCGCGACGGTTGAAGTCGAACCCCCAAGCAGTATAATGTCAATATTTATGTTACAAGTGTCGTAAAGCCACACATGCTGCTCCGTCTGTATTGACCTGGCGGTGCACACACGCCATTATGGATGCACATGGCAGAATTTCGCAATTGCCCTTTTTCGCGGAACGTATATTGTTCCACGAAATGCAAAACCTCTACCAGCCTATGACTGAAACATTATTTTTCCTTTATTGCTTTTGCTTTCAGTATAGAGACCGCCCCTTCCTCCGCCTCCTCCTCTTGGTGCAAAATACTTCTGATCCAAGGATCATAGAAGAACAAAAAAGTCAGAGCAAACATTCAACGTAATTTACGGATACTTCGTTGTATACATGCACTGCTAGACGAGTACGCTTTAACCGAGTAACAAACTTCTTCTGAGCTGCCGAACTTTAGTAATAAGGTTGATTGCATCAAAGGGAAAGTATGGGGCATGGGGGGAATATACATTATAAGGTATGATAGGTTAATTAAGAAGACTAATACGCGTATTCTGTCGTAGCGAAGGCTTCACCGAACTTTCAAAAAATGCGCGTCTCGCTGCAGGGGCACAAAACCGCCTTTGTGGGACAGTCGTCTTCTTTCCGGGATAACTCGTGAGTCCTTAGTACCTTCGTGACGTGCAATACTATATACGCAGTAGCAACTTTACGTTTCACCAAACGTTTCCACCTTGAGAGCTTATAGTGATCTTAGTAGGAAGATTGACGAACTTAACTGTGTTGGTGGCTTTCGGTAATTGTTATTTTGAGTGGTCAGCCACCGTTACGCTTTTTGTTTTTTTTTGTGCTTTTTCCGCTATAGCCGAGAAGCAGGTCGTGAAAACGTTTTGACACGAAGGGCCGAGGAAATCGGAGTACGCAGCCGCCAGCACGACTCCTTGTCTACGCGTCGTCGCTTGATAAGAGGTCGACTCAACTGACGACCTCCCCGTTTATCAAACACAAAGGCTGAGGCGATGATAAATGAGTTTTACTTTGACAACGAGATGCCAAGTTATCTATTCCCGTAGTTATCCGAAACCGTAAACATGCAATAGATATGATATAACGCGCTGTGGCGGCGCTTGAGAAGATAGCGCATCGCCAGAGTTTTGGCGACGTCTACTTGATATCTGATGATGATTTGTGGGGTTTAACGTACCAAAACCACCATATGATTATGAAAGACGCCGTAGTGGAGGGCTCCGGAAATTTCGACCACCTGGGGTTCTTTAACGTGCACCCAAATCTGAGCACACGGGCCTCGACATTTCCGCCTCCATCGGAAATGCAGCCGCCGCAGCCGGGATTTGAACCCGTGACCTGCGGGTCAGCAGCCGAGTACCTTAGCCACTAGACCACCGCGGCGGGGCCTACTTGATATCTAGTTATACTCAATACTTATAAATCACATTTCATACAATGTCGCATATTTGTAATAGCCGCTGCGCTTTCGCACTTACTGAAGCTATATAAGCCTTCTCACGCGTATACAAACAACTGTATCAGTATATACTACTTGATATCTAGTTATACTGATACAGTTGTTTGTATACGCGTGAGAAGGCTCATATAGCTTCAGTAAGTGCGAAAGCGCAGCGGCTATTACAAATATGCGACATTGTATGAAATGTGATTTATAAGTATTGAGAATAGGGGCAGTAGTGAATGTGTGGGATAGCTCTCTCTCTCTTTTGTAGCTTCCAGTCGAGCAAGATCGGGACAGTTGCGTTGCGGCGTGCCTTGGCAGGTTGGCCATGTTGGCACTCACTTTTATGTGTATTATTAGACAAATGTTCTGCACTTTACCCTTTACCAATCTATTATAGATATCTAGAAGGGATTCGTTTTCTATCGCGCTAAGGGAAACGGATGAAGATAGTCGCTCACTACTCTTCTTAGTACGTGATTTCCGATTCAGCATTTAGTTGAACAGATTGTGGTGGATATTTTTTGAGTAATACACTTCTTTTAAACTTCTTTTTATCTAAGAAAACTGCGCGCGTGAACTTTACGTGAAATTGGCGCTTGCTTTGCTCTTTCTGCGTTGCTTTATGTTAGGACAAACTATTTTCGAGAACATTTGATCACGAATAAGGAAATAAAATGACGGTTCCGTATGAAAATAAAAAAAACTAACACTTCATTTGTGAGAATAGTCCTTTGCGAGAAGTGTACATAGTCAAATCTCCAGAAAGATACAAGCAACGCGAATATAGGTGCGCACTAAATCTGCAGTCATCACAAACAGCATCGACAGACGACACTTATGTGAGAATGACACCTGCAAGAACGATCCTGTCGGTGTACAAAAAGGAGAGATACGTTAGTAGCAGGCTAGGGAGCTTGTTCCATGCGCCGTCTGAGCGGTGCATGCCATATACGGTACCTATATACCCTTACATGGGAGGGACCCTGAAGTGAGCATGGGACGCCAAAGCTACAGTGGCGCAAAAGGTTTCTGTGCTATTGGGCTAAAGGCAGGCCGATGGGGCACATAGATACACTCTTTATACACAGAAAACATCTTCACGAAGCGCCAACAGTCTACTTGTAGGTTGAATACGCTCGAACGATATCGCAGTGTTGTACGATTTCAACAAGATGTCAACGCTGATTGTATAGGGAGTGTCACTGCTCTATTCAGAGACATGTCTTCTGAGCAATAATCTAAAACAGTGAACAATCAATGAAAATTAAAAAAGGAAAGAAATATTGTAACAATGTGCCCATATTAATGTGCATGTAACGCTTTTTGTTGCTTTTTTTGGCCACTCCAGTCGGTGTTGCTCATAGGGGAATGCTAAAAAAGTTGATTGACTGAACTGGTTATATTTGAGGTGCTGTTTGGAAGCCCATGGCACCAACCAGCCATTATCAAATAGTAACGGATATACACGCTGTCATTAAAGGGGCCGAGCAACACTTTATAGGCATGGTCCGAAAACGCTGCCGATCGGTAGTAGAGGCTCTCGACAACACGAGAGTTAAATATTAAAGCGCAGCACGCGGCCTGGAATTCGCAATAAATTATCAAAGTCAGCTAAAATAGCTTTCTCTTCTCTCGACAAATCACGGAAAATAAGCCCGTAAGCCCATCGAGCAGCCGTTGGCTGATTTGAACATGGCGCACTCGGTTGTTAGAGGCCGTCACTTGTCCACGCATGCGCACGCGATCGCACTGATAAAGCTGCGATTTCGAAGAAAAAAAAAAAAAAGATGCTCACTGTCACGAGGCGTGAGTGACGTTTTTTTTGTCTGCTCCTCCCATCACTCCCTGCTCAGCTTTCAGCGCTTTCGACGCGACGAGAGAAGAGAGAATGTGATTGCAGCGTGTGACAAATCTTTGTGACTCCGCTCGTACTGGACGGATTCCTAAAGCTTTTGCGGCGTTCAATTTATGAAGTAATACGCTTTTCCAGTGAATTATTTCCATGATTACTCAAAAAAGTGCTTCATGGCCCCTTTAAAAGGTATGCACAAGAGCTCTTTAGTTGTTCATGCAGCCCTGCGAGCTACTCGAAGCACTGTGCTAAGCATCAGCTCTGCCGACCAGCCGCGACGTGCCAGCCAGCCGCGACGTGAATAAAAATCACGCGTCAGCGAGATTGTCCAGGCTCTTGATTCGAGTGCCACTGAAGACAGAATTGCGTTAATTTTGGCCTACGAGAAAGCAGCGTGGAGATTGTTAGCGGCGAATGCGCAGCCTTGAGGAGAGATAGTATTGTGGGAACGTACTAGTACGCAAAATGCTAAGCAGCATTAAGTGGCAAGGTCCTGACGCCAAAAACAAGCTGCCCTTGCTGCTTCCCCACGCACGTGCCGTTACAGAACCGATGAAAAACGACGCGAGAAGAAGCGCTCGAGCACTCTCACTTGGGGGTCCTAGTTCTGGTTGAACCTCAACTGAGCTCTATCGAGAAAGCGGGTACACCATGAGTATGACCAGGCAATCTAGCAACGTTGGGCCAGACAGCACCATGTCTTCTCAAACAGTGGCCTTCCGGGCTTCCCCGAAGTCGAACGACGAACGCGACGCATCCATCGCAGCTTGCATCTCCGGCGAAACCCTGTGTCGTCGTCCTCGACCGAGCACCGCGTGTTCCGCCGGGTCACTCGCGTCAGACGCGACAGTCGTTGTTGGACGTGAGCGTGAGCTCAGTGTCGTTGCTGAGGCCGCTGATGTCGCGCTTGACGTGGTGGTTCCTGGCCGTCTGGCCCGCGGGCGGCGAGGCTCGCAGGCTCTGCGCCGACTCCAGGCCCGGCCTGGCTCCCCGCGTGTACTCGTGGGTGAAGCCTGCCATCAAGCCGCCCAACATCGGTCCCGCCCAGTAGACCTGCGAGTTTGCCAATCACCGTTAGTGCAGCGACTTAGCAACTGACGAAAGGGCTTTATTGAGCACACAGGTTATCATAATCTTCATGGCGGAGAAGGAAACATGTGTTTGGAAAGGAGGCAATTACGAAGTTCCAAGCACTGCAACGATCGTATATTGTAATCAAACCAACCGATGCCATGAGTGGTGAATGCCAGAATACCGACCAATCAGGAAACTTCCGTTCTGCTAAGTGACAATGGATCGGGTATATCACGTGCAGAACAACATATATCAGTAATAACTATCCAGAAGGGACAAAGAGCATATTAAGAATCAAAAAAAGTGAAGGCTTTGTGAATTCGGTGAAATATATGCACACAATGCCTTCGAAGTTAACATATATATATATATATATATATATATATATATATATATATATATATATATATATATATATATATATATATATTATATATATATATATATATATATACATATATATATATACATATAAGGGAGAAAAAAGTGTATACCTAAGGGCTTGTTTTTCTGTGTTTTAACACAATAATAATGAGATCTAACAGACAGTAATGCCAAGGAACATTGAACGCGTTATTAGAAGGTTGTAGGTTTGATTCCTGCTCACGGCTGGTTATTTTTTCATCCACTTTTCTTCTTATTTATATTCCATTGGTTCTAACACACACACACACACACACACACAACACACACACTATATATATATATATATATATATATATATATAATATATATATATATATATATATATATATATATATATATATATATATATATATATATATATACTATATATATATATATATATATATATATAATATATATTTATTTATTTATTTATTTATTCATTCATTATTTATATAATCTCGAATGCAGAACGGTTTCTCGCAGTAATGCCCCATTACCTCTGCCTCGGGCCGGCTGTCTCTACATAATGCCTGAAAATGTTCTAAATTTATTCCACTGCTGAATTCTCTGTTTTTCAAGACACAGCGCTTCCTTTCTCGTTCACACCCATTGACATCACATATTTCCTGTGCAAATACATCGGTTTACTAATAACATCCACCGCAGAATTGGCCTACCACCATTGCTCCCTTGTTCGCTCTGCTTTCTTGCTGTCTGTTGACGTCCCGTGCAATATATTTTGTTACATCATCATTTCACATTCTTCCTGGTTTTTTCTTTTCTTTACCTCGTAGTTGGCGCCATTTATATTAGCGTTGGTACAATGTAAATAAAGTACTTTTATTTTAGTTGACATACCCGTAAGCCTTCACTAATGACGTGATAATGACTGTTGTACGTCCTGAAACCTATGTCCGTTCTTTTGTAAACTTTCTTCTCATGATCAATGCCCCCTGTGAGTATTCGGCTCAAATAAACATGATAAAGAAAAACGCTGACGCAAAGTCCCTATCCACGTTTCTTCGCTTTCAGCATTTTCCTGAGCCGATAGAGGACCTTCTCTTCTCTTAATAAAACTTGCTCGGCAGTTGTGGAGGAACCTCCTCACCCAAGCCGTGATTCGAAGAACCGTCTTTCAGTGACTGCGTTTAGTGACCTCAAATAGAGGTTCCCGCGTCCTGTTCTGGGCAACTAAAACCAAGTTATCTGTTGGGTTTCTTTCGTCAGGTAACGTTTAAGCTGAGTTCTCCAAGTTCTCATCTTGTTTCGGCCATGTTTCTAGAGGCGTAATGAGCCGTTCGGGGCCAAGCCACCATAGTAAGTTCGTGCTAAAGCCCTGGGGTGACGCTCCTTTTGTTAGAAAATCAGCTGGGTTAACTTTCCCTGCGCGGTGACCCCTGCGGCTAGGATCGGTGCGTTCTTGAATTTCTGTCACTCTGTTGTAAACAAAGGGTTTCCACTTCGTGGGTGACGACCGAATCCAGCATAGGCAGATGTTAGAATCAGTCCAGCATAAGTATTCGCCGCATTTCGCTAGCGTCACTCGCGTAGAAAGGTCACTTTTCGCGCACCCAGGCAAGCCCCGACGAGTTCAAGACGCGGTAACGTCATTCTTTTGATAGGAGCGACACGAGCTTTTGCGAGTAGCTGTTGGACATAGAGTCTTCCCGATCCATCTTCAACCCTTAAGTATGCAACGACACCGTGTGCCTGCAGACTTGCGTCAGAAAATACATGAAGCTGAGAGTGAGCTTCGTCCGTGTTAACTTTTTTCCGCGAACCCCTCTCCAAGGTCAAATCTCATGCCTTCAACTTCTGACGTAAACTTCTTCCACTCATCTTCGAGAGCCTTTGGAAGTGGCACGTCCCAACCTATTCCTTGCTTCCAAATATCTTGAAACAAGAGCTTGGCTCTGACGGTGAATTGAGACAGAAATCTCAGTGGGTCGAAAATTTTTGATGTCGCTTGGAGCACTGTTCGCTTTGTGGATTTTCTGTCCTTGAGAATCTCCAGAAGTGGGTCAACGTTCACACGAAGGGTGCCTTCTTGTGTATTCTAATATAGGCCAAATACCTTCGTTAGTGTATGCTGTGACGTTGCTCCCTCTGTCTTGAAGTCTGTGTCGCAGCTGGTCCTCGTTATTCGACCACTTCTGCATATTCATTCCTGCTAACTTCATGATCTCCGTTGTTTACCCGTACAAGTGGCAAATACCTTCGGGTGTTGAGCGCCGATTACGAAATCATCCACATAGAAGCTTTGCTGGAGTTGAACAGCTGTTTCTGGGTATTTGGAATTAATGTGATTGAAGTGCTACCGAAGGGTAGCCGATAGGAGAAACAGACTCGATGTTGTCTCGAAAGGCACACAAGTGGAGCGCATCCCTGTCTTCTTCTGTGATGGATATCTGCAGGAACGCCGAAAAATGTTCTTTGGCAGCCGTTATCCAAGACACCACGGACGTAACAGGAGTTAGTAGGAGTCGTCAGCCAGGCACGCAACATCTGGAGGAGAAACTTCATGGCGAGTCAATGTTGGGTACTGTTCATTTCTATGTGCATGGCGACATTCGGGGTCTTTCTCGGTCCTGCGTCAGATGATCTCTTTAGACTGACAGCGTTGCATCGTGGAAGCATGGCGACGCTTACATGCTGTACACTGGATCCTGTGACTGCATTCCCGAATAAGATGTCCCTTCGTAGTACACTTAAAGCAGCGACCATCCTTCCCGAGCATACCGCGCTTGTCTTCGAGGCTGACTTCTCTGGTGCCTCGTTCAGTCTTATGATCTTTGGCAGCACAAAAGAAGCTTGGTTCTGTTAATATTTCTGCCTTATTTTGAAAAACCCTTGCCGCAGGATCTGACGTCATAGTTAAGTTCGCATTTAGTTTAGGGCGTGCTTCGTTGAGCCTTGTTAACCTAGTCTGAGCGCACTTCTCTGTACATTCAACTTCTACTTGAAGAAATTTCAGGAGGCGCTGTTAATCCTGTTCAGCTGAAGCCGCACTGCTGCTTGTGGATACCGATGAGGTATTGCACCCGATGCTTTCGCTCTTGTAATACCCGACTACCATATCTTTAGGTATCGCTTTTAGGAGTATTTCGCATAGCATTGAAGCGTAAGATGAAGCGCTCACCCCTAGGTTGGCGAGTCTCCCCCGGTTAAGTTGAATGTCGTCGAATAACTTCCGTAAGGCAGAAACGTTGTGCGATAAAGTCACCGGCCCAAGCATGCGTAGGTTTTCCAAAAGTTTCTCTTAGATCAACTTGCGGTTGCAGTAGCGCTGCTTAACTATTCCAAATGCATCGTTGTAACTTGACTCCGTGACTTGGATTCCAGTGACGGCCTTTGCAGCAGCTCCGTCAAGCAGAGAAACCAGGTCATGGAAGCGGTCTGTGTCAGACAACCTGAGGTTCTCATGGACAGAATGAAGAAACATATCCCACAATGACTGCCATTGGGTGATTGTTCCGTCTAAACACAAAAGTTCTAACTTGGGCAACCTAGCGCCAAATTCACGCTGTGAACGTGCCGTGTTCGTTGAGGATGCAGCCGGTCGGTTCCCGTCAGCTTTAGTTGGTGGCTCTGTTGTAGAAAGCGAAGAGGAAGTCTTGACCTTGTCAATATTGTGCTCGAGTAAGGCCAGCGCGCTGACGGCAGCTTTGTCGTATTATATGACGGAATCATAAGCTTCTATGACTTGCTCGTTGGTCATGACTGCTTCCAAATCAGCGTTAAGCGCGTGCAACTCCGACTTCATCGCCTTTAGCCGGCTTTACAAGACACGAAGTGCGGAAAGCTCGAACTGAACGACCTCGCTTACTTCGTTAATGATCCTCGTGGTTTGCGCTCGGTGAGCGGCCCGCTTTTTCTTGATCCGCTCTATGACGGCTCCATGCAGCGGTCTGTCTCAAAAGAAGCCGCAAGATCTAAAAGCACTGGCTGGCTTCCCGTGTAGTTCGGCACCAAAACGGTGTAGGGAAAAGACACTTCTACCGGGTTTATTGGCGCAGAGTGCTAAATTGTCCCAAACATAGCGATCGAATTGGTCACAAGCAAGCCGCCAGCTCTTGACTGCACGTTCACTCTTTCTTCGTCGTCGTCTTCCATGCACCGCGCGAGCACGATTTTCAATAAGGTCACATCCGGGCTCTCATATCTCAGCGTTCCACGATAATACGAGCAAAAATAATTGTTCCGTATAAAGATAGTGTAAATCCTTGTGAACAGTCAAACAGGAACCACCACTTAAGTAACTGCGCAGCTTCTTTGACAATGTCCATTATGATAGTTATTTTTTTCACTGCTAGAGCGACAGAGTAGCACTTTATTAGAATGCACTCTGGAACGTTGCTTATAAGTATAGCCGGCGTCCACACGCTGTATTGCGGGGAGTGGGCCTCATCAGACATATGTTACAGATGTATACTCGAATGTGGTCCGTTGCACAAGCCTTGTCAAGTGGGCAGATAAGACCACGCTGCGTCGCGGAGGACTGCCCTTCATGAATGGGTCAGACGGCGCGAGGACGCGTGTTTCGTTGCACAGTTTTGAACTGAGTACACTGT